TCATAGATAAAATGCACACCCACAGCAACTAGCTAACTGAGGTGCGGTCTGTGACTGGGGTAAAGTGGGAATTAGGGGGACTTTGAGCATAGAACACTGGGCGTGATACACTTTCACAGCCCGCACTACCGCTGGTCACCACTAGAGGGAGACTCCACTCCAATCCAGCTGGCTGACCACACACAGGCAGATAAGAATATAACATACAATTTGGTGCACTCTAAGGGTTAGGGAGCAGTCTAGCAATTAACACACCCTTCTACGATTCCTCCAGCTAACCTACAAGCTATAACCCTGGTGTTAATCACTCTTCCACTGTCCACACACACACAACAAAAGGTAGCTTGCCACCACCCAACAGTTTTTCCGCAGACTGGTCTGCTGGGCCACACACACACACACACACACACACACACACACACACGCACACACACGCACACACACACGCAGATTTGCTACTTTACAATCTGCATGCAATCTGCCAACACGCAGTGCAATTGCATACAGACTGACAATGAACTCAGACCGAGCACATAGACAGTACAATGCAACAACCTCTCCGGAGATATGAGCCTGAGCTTAAGTACCCAGAAGTCACTTATTAATTGTATGATTTAATATCCCAAAAGTGGGCAGTGCATAAAACATGTACGAAGAAAAAACAGTTACAGAAAATACAAAAAGACACACAAATGGCTATTCACTATAAAATAAAAATGGAATAAAAACAGAAATAAAACTTTTACCAAGAGTTATCCTGTGACTGGAGCAAGTCATAGAAAGTCCGCGATTCACCAGTCAATTAGAACCGGCTCCGTACGAATCACACCGTCCATACTTCAGGGTCCTCAATTTATTAAAATATGGAACGTGGGCTGGACTTCAGCCCTTGGCCAATCAACCCTAGGGGGGGGGGGGGTCCTGTACCAACCCACAGGACGTTCTATGTTGTGAAGTGCCCAATCTCGAATGGGCCAGAAACGGTTTGGATCACTGGGTCAGGGATAAGATATCAAACACCAATCATTCCAATCGTGACAGTACCAATCATGTTCAGCTGTCGCAATCGGGCGCCATACAACCAGTTTGTGTGTTTCTCTGGGATTCTACAAATACAGTTTTACATGTAGATGTAGCCTAAAATGTGTCCAATCAGAAGGAATTATTTTCATCTCGCCGCAACTAATATTTGAGCTTTTATGAGAGATGAAATCAATTCCTGTGATCTGTGGATATAAATCAGAGCTGGCAGACATTGTCCCCTATGGCTTCCCGAAGTCGAAATGGCTAGAGCTCTTCTTTTAGATTTCAAGAAGGTGGCAAACTCTGGCTACATAGGTGACAACGTTTTATTGGCATCTAGGTGTCACCTCCAGCCTAGAAGATGCTCTGTCCTTTCACATGCTAATTGGTGAACATATGTCTCTGAATACTGAACACTTCTCTTTCATAACATGGAATGAAACTAGATCTACAATTACATATTTCTACTGATCACATCTCAACTACCCTAATCTTACATTTATGTCACACATGGGTTAGTCAACATAAGTATTAGGAAGGGGGTATCCATTTTTTTTTTTTTTTTTAAAGCCAGATAGGTTCAGGCTGAAATTATACTGTCAGTCTGGGTTCACACTGATGCAATGCGGAATTTGCACTGGTTTCTGTGCGATTTCTGCACCGCATCATAATTGAACCCCTTTCAAATGAACCACTGCGGATGTGTATTTTAACCCCTTGGCGCAGGTGCCCCCCAGCCCTATAAGGGTTTCAGAAGCCTGAGGCGGGGCAGGGATTTAGGGTCATGTGACCGCTGTGATTCACGGTCACGACTGGGAAAGGTCCCGATCGAAAGAGGAGATCGGGACCTTTCCGTGAGTACTGGATGTGTGCTGGGAGCGTGCAGGGCGCATGCTCTCAGCACATATATTTTTTTCCTAATTGCACACAAATGTGCAGCCGCTTGGTGTCCAGACCCAGACGCCGGGAGGCCGCACATTTGCGTGCGGCCGGCCGGCTCAAAGTGGTTAAGTTAACGACATTCCAAAAACAGTTTGCAAAATGCAGTGCAATATGCAGAATCGGATTGCATGGGTGGGAACATCCAGGCGATCCTATTCTGGTGCAGAGTAAAAAAAAAAAAAAAAAAAAAAAAAAAAAAGTCCTGCACATTTTTGGTGCAGATGCGGTGTGATTTGAGCCATACAAAAAGTATGGCACAAATTGCACCACACAGTAATTGCATGTGAAATGCACAGGAATGTGGTATGGTTCCTGTGCGCATCACATGCATGTGCCGCATCAGTGTAAACCCCAGGCTAAAGGTCTAAGTCTCATACTCACAACCGCATGCATTGCACACAGTTGTGGGACACTTTCAGAACCGCCCCATGCACTTTAATTCCTGCTGTAGCCTTGAAACAAAGCATCATAGCTGTGGCATGTGTACACCCTTAGCCGCTGCCTCTAAAAGGGTAGCAGTTGGGGGGGGGGGCAATAAAAGTTCAGCTCAACCACAGAGCTTACCACACTCTAACCACTAATGCTAATGAGCCCTTAGTAAGATTCACCCCATTTTTCCTATTTAGTTACCTTAGGACTGCCCCATGGCAGATATACTGCTACAAGGGGGCCCTCCTGTGCAAAATCACGTATATAAACAGTCATTATGCATCTCTGCCCAGGGGGCGTGCATGTGGGCCCCTTGTGCTGTGAATACTCACAGCAGAAACCAATCAGAGGGTGCCGGTGAACGGATGTCCACCAGCACCCACCAATTGTCGGGTAAACACACAGAATGGAGCTCTGCCTTGTAAATGTTAGAGGATGTGATGGATAAAATCCATCACTTCCCTTAGTAAAACACAAAAAAACACATTGTTAGGCACAGTTAACCCTTTGATTGTCCTAGTGGTTTAACCCCTTCCCAGCCAGTGTCATTAGTACAGTGTTTGTGCATATTTTTAGCACTGATCACTGTATTCGTGTCACTGGTTCCCACAAAGTGTCAGTTAGTGTAAAAATCTCTGCAACAATATCACAATCTTCTGGAGGTCAAGTGGCTAATGTTATCACTGCTGAAAGTGAAAGAAAATCTCAAATTCAGGGTTGTCACCAGAACAGGAATAGAGGAGAATTTCATCTAAACAGGGACACTAGTTCTGGTGACAACCAGAGACTCCCTCACTTCCTGTTTTGGCTATGTGACAGGAAGTGAAGGAGTATCTCCCCAATGGGACACAGAGGGGAAAAAAAAAAAAAAAAAAAAAAACACACACACACAACCTAACAGGGGCTCTAACCCTCTATCCAAAAATGACACAAACAAGCCTTGCCTTTAGTTCTACATTAACCTCATCCCTTTAAAACCGAATACATAAAAATCACACAGGTTCTGGGGCGAATGTATTTCAGATAATGCACTAAGTGAGTTTAACTACCACCTTAACCACTTGCCAACCACGCTGTAGCTGAATGACAGCTACAGCACGGTTGTCCAGTTGTGGGAGGGCAGCAGATGATGTCCTTCCAGAACACATCCTCCCGTGAGCCCTCAGTGGCACGCACCTGGTGCTGTCAGTGATCGCTGTGTCCTACAGACACAGCTGATCACATGATGAGGTAAAAGGCCACTCACAGCGGCCTTTTACTGCATGATCAGCTTTGTCCAATGACAGCAGATCACTGAGTAAATACAGTTGCCGGTTTTCACAGCGTGAGGAAAGTACTGCCGGTAACCAGCAACTGTCACAGAGGACATCTTCACAGATGATCAGTGCCACCCAGCAGTACTGCCCACCAGTGCCACCTATCAGTGCATCATCATGCCTCCTCAATGCCCACCAGTGCCGCTTCATCAGTGCTGCCTATCCATGCCACATCATCAGTGCGGCCTATCAGTGCCGCCCATCCATGCCACCTCATCAGTACAGCCTATCAGTGCTCATCAGTACTGCCCATCCGTACCACCTCATCAGTGCTGCCTATCCATGCCCAGCAGTGCTGCCCATCCATACCACCACATCAGTGCTGCTTATCCGTGCCACCTCATCAGTGCTGCCCATCTGTACCACCTCATCAGTGCTGACTATCCATGCCCAGCAGTGCTGCCCATCCATACCACATCAGTGCTGCCCATCCGTGCCACCTCATCAGTGCTGCCCATCCGTGCCACCTCATCAGTGCTGCCCATCCGTGCCACCTCATCAGTGTGCCCATCTGTGCAGCCTGATCAACACACATCAGTGAAAGGAAAATTACCAGTTTGCAAACTTTTATAATAGAAACAAAGAAAAAAATTTTCTTCAACTTGTTTATAGTGCAAAAAATAAAACACTCAGCAGTGATTAAATACCACCAAAAGAAAAACTCTATTTGTGTGAAAAAATTATACAAATGTCATATGGGTACAATGTTGCATGACCGCACAACTGTCAAAGGGCGACAGCGCTGAAAGCTGAACATTGACCTAGGTACAAAGGTGGTATAAATGCCCGGTAAACAAGTTGCTAATGAGCCACAGAACATGTGCCGTTAATGTGTGTTTCGGTTTTGAGGCGACAACCCCAGGGTCACCCTCACTTTGAGATGATTTCCTCTAACAAATCGTCATGATATTTGGCATTTTAGGAAACTCAAAGCAGCCCAACAAGCCTCGAATACACAGCGATACATACACCGTCCGATCTCCGCTCACACCCCGGGCTCTCCGCTCCTCTACACAAGCGGCGGGGTGCGGGGGATTTAAATGAGTCATGTGAGCAAAAAGGAATCAGCTGACCCGACCCAGGGGCGGAAGTGGCGTGATTGTGTGGCTCACGTGAGTAGTGTGGGCGGAAGTAGCGCTGTGTCAGCGTTTGGGCAGGAGTCCTCAATCCCGGTGAGCTGTCACTTACCTCCGGGGCTCCCCTGGTCCCGCCGATCACCCGCCACCCCCTATTAGTGGGCTCCGTTCCCTCTCACCGGCTCAGGCCTATCTTTTCTCCTCCCGCCCAGCCATGGACAACACCGGCAAGGAGAAGGAGGCCATGCAGCTGCTGGCTGAGGCCGAGAAGAAAGTGAAATCCTCCCAGTCCTTCTTCTCCGGCCTGTTCGGGTGAGTGATGGAGACTGGATGTGTATAATGATCGGATTGTAAACAAATCTCAGTGTGTGTGACTGCTGTGTACATCTGGGTGTGGGGGGAGGGGTGTCCAACAACAACCTGTCTATAGACAATACTTGGGGTTTTTTTCTTGTTTTGGATGGAGTAGAGAAGAAAGAAAATCTCTGTCAGGCTGTTTGTATACAATCTGTGTCCCTTTAGGGAGATTTCCCTTCACTTCCTGTCTCAGAGACACAACAGGAAGTGAGAGGAAATCTCCCAGATTGAGGGTTTTCCCCTCTTAGTTGTTTTGTATAGATTGCAGAAGAGTTAAAAACCTTCTTGTTTTTTTTTTTTTTTTTGCTGTTTATGTACCATTTGGGAAATTCCCCTCCACTTCCTGTCCCAAATATGCAACAGGAAGCGAGTGGAAATCTCTTGAAGTGAAGGGAATTCTCCCTTTGTTACATTGGATAGAGCAGGGTAAGTGCGAAAAAAAAGCCCTTTTTTTTTTGCAGTTTACCATTGGGGAAATTCCCTTTCACTTCATGTCCCAAAAATGCAACAGGCAGTGAGAAGAAATCTCCCAAAATGAAGAAATTCCCCACGTGGTTGCATTGGATAGAGCGGGGGGGAACTGCTAAACCACCCTGTCAGATTACTTTTTGATGTCTGTGTACCTTTAGGGATATTCCCTTTCACTTCCTGCCCCAGAGACACAACAGGAAGTCAGAAGAAATCTCCAAAACAGAGGAAAATCTCCACTTAGTTGTTTTGGGTAGCGTAGGAGAGGGTTAAAACCCCTTGTTTGTGTAACACTGGGGAGATTTCTCCTTCATTTCCTGTCCCAGAGATGAGATGCAACAAGAAATTAGATGAAATCTCTCAAAGTGTGGAAAATCTCCCTCTTAGACAGTTGTTTTGGATAGAAGAGGAAAGGGTTAAAACTCCAGTGTCAGGTTATTTTATTTTTTTTTTGCTGTGTACCTTTTGGGGAAACATTCTTTTATTTCCTGCCCCAGAGACACTAAGAAGTTAGAGGAAATCTCCCAAAGTGATGGAAATCCCCCTCTTAGATGCTTTGGATAGAGCAGGAAAGGGTTAAAACCCCTATTTGTGTAACATTGAGGAAATTTTCTCCTTTACTTCCTGTCCCAGAGATGAGATACAACAGGAAATTAGGAGAAATCTCCCAAATGTGAGGGCAACTCCACCCTTAGCTGTTTTGGATGGAGTATGAAAGGCTTAAAACTCCGTCAGGTTGTTTTTTTGCTATGTAACATTATGAAAATTCCCCTTTTACTTCCTGTCCCAGACACACAACAGGAAGTTAGATGAAATCTCCTAGCGGGAGGTAGTTCCCTTTGTAGACTTTTGTTTTGGATGGCATAGAAAAAGGTTTTTTAATAAAAAAAACTTTTATTTTAATCCTGTCAGTGTAACATTAGGGAGATTTCTCCTACACTTCCTGTTCTAGGGTTGCAACATCAAGTTAGAAGAAATTTCCCAATGTGTAGGGAATTCCGCTCTTAGATGTTGTTTTTGGATAGAATATGAAAGGTTTTTTTTTTTTTTTTTTTGCTGTGTACTATTAGGGAAATTTCCTTGCACTTCCTGTCCCAGAGATGCATCAGGAAGTCACATGCAATCTCCCAAATTGAGGAAATTCCCCTTGTAGACAGTTGTTTTACACGGAGCAGGAAAGGGTAAAAAAAAAAACTCCTGTCATTTTATTAATGGTTGACTACTATTGGGGAGAAGTGGCAGTCTCCCAAAGTGTATCAATTCCCTTCTTAGATAGTTGTTTTTTTTGTTTTTTTTTTTTGGGATAGAGTAGGGAGGGTTAAGCCTCCTGTCATTTTATTTTTTTGATGTGTCTGTCCCTTTAGGGAAATTCTCCCTAACTTCTTGTTCCAGAGACCTAACAGGAAGTTGGAGGAAATCTCCCAAAGTGGAAGGAATTCTCCTCTTTGTTGTTTTGGATGGGGCAGGAAAGGGTTAAAACCCCCGCCATTTTATTTTTGGAGGGCTGTCTACCATTGAGCAATTTCCCCCTCACATCCTGCTCCAGAGATGCAAGTAGAAGAGAATCTCTAAAAGTAAAGCAACGGCACACCTAAGTGCTCCATCCGATGAGCGCGCTGTGCCGCAGTCGTGATGCATGCACGGGAATGTCGCCATCATGGCTTGGCCATTCAAACAGTGAACCCGGAAGGAAGACAGGGTGAAATCGGAATCCTTGACAGTGGTGGCACCAGGCTGCTGGTGTGTATACCAGTATTATGACATTTTATTTATTTCAGGTACTTATATAGCGCCATCAATTTACGCAGCACTTTACATATATATTGTACATTCACATCAGCCCCTAACCCTCAAGGAGCGTACAATCTAAGGTCCCTAACTCACATTCATACATACACATACTAGGGCCAATTTAGACAGGAGACAATTCACCTACCAGCATGTCTTTGGAGTGTGGGAGGAAACTGGAGTACCAGGAGGAAACCTACGCAGGCACAGGGAAAACATGCAAACTCCAGGCAGGTGGTGCCATGGTTGGGATTCAAACCAACAACCCTAGTACTGCCAGGTGGAAGTGCTAACCATTCAGCCATGACATGGCTACTAAATATTTCACGGTCAACTGTTAGTGGATTATAACAAAGTGGAAGCAACTGGGAACAACAGCAACTCAGCCACCAAGTAGTAGGCCACGTAACATGACAGAGCGGGGCCAGCGCATGCTGAAGCGCACAGTGCGCAGAAGTCGCCAACTGTCTGCAGAGTCAATAGCTAAAGATCTCCAAACTTCATGTGGCCTTCAGATCGGCACAACAACAGTGCATAGAGAGCTTCATGGAATGGGTTTCCATGGCCGAGCAGCTGCATCCAAGCCTTACATCACCAAGTGCAATGCAAAGCGTCGGATGCCGTGGTGTAAAGCACGCTGTCACTGGACTCTAGAGCAGTGGAGACGTGTTCTCTGAAGTTACCAATCATGCTTCTCTGTCTGGCAATCCGATGGACATGTCTGAGTTTGTCAGTTGCCAGGAGAACGGTACTTGCCTGACTGCATTGTGCCAAGTGTAAAGTTGGGATGAATTAGAGTGGAGACTGCGAGCCTGCGAGGTCCATAAGACATGGATGAGCCAGTTTGGGGTGGAGGAACTTGACTGGCCTGCACAGAGTCCTGACCTCAACCCGATAGAACACCTTTGGGATGAATTAGAGCGGAGACTGCGAGCCAGGCCTTCTTGTCCGACATCAGTGCCTGACCTCACAAATGTGCTTCTGGAAGATTGGTCAAACCTTCCCATAGACACCCTCCTAAACCTTGTGGACGGCCTTCCCAGAAGAGTTGAAGCTGTTATAGCTGCAAAGGGCGGGAACAACTCAATATTGAACCCTACGGACTAAGACTGGGATGCCATTAAAGTTCATGTGCGTGTAAATTCAGGGGTCCCAGTACTTTTGGCAATAAGTAGTGTAGTTAGGCACACATTTAACCCCTTGATCACCGTATTTGTTAACCCCTTCCCAGCCAGTGTCATTAGTACAGTGACAGTGTATAGTATTATCACTGTATTTATGTCAATGGAGAAGTCAGCAGCAGTTAGTCAGTTGGCCCCAGCGTCAGATTACTCCGCCGCACTATCGCAGTCCCATTATAAGTCACTGATCAACACCATTAGTAGTAGAAAATAATAAAAAATTCTAATAAATTATATATATATATATATATATATATATATATATATTATTTTTCTTTATTACACACACCGTAGTTTTTAGGTGCTATACCTTTCACACTACATATATTATATATATATATATATATATATATATATATATATATATATATATATAGTGTGAAAGGTATAGCACCCAAAAACTACAGTGTGAGTAATAAATATATATATATATATATATATATATATATTACTCACACTGTAGTTTTTAGGTGCTATACCTTTCACACTATATATATATATATATATATATATATATATATATATATATATATATATATATATATATATACACACACACTTATTGGATTTTTTTTTTTTTTTATCAAAGAAATTGAGGAGAATAGATTTTAGCCAAGATTTATGAAGACATTTGAGTTTTTTATTGGATATGTTTTGCAGAAGAAAGTAAAAAATATTGTGTTTCTTTTCATTTTCGGTCTTTAATTTACAAATCACAAGAAAAACAAATAGTGATAAAAAATATTACCATAAGGAAGCTCTATTGGTGTGAAAAAATTGTATACATTTTGTTTGGGTGCGTTGCATGCCTGCGCAATTAACAGTTAAAGTAGCACAGCGCTAAATAGCCAAACATGGCCTGGTAAAAACCTTCCAGAGCTCAGGCCTCCTTTAACACGGACCAACAAGATGTGCAGCAAAGTTACAAATTTTCCCGAATTATGCATCTAATTATGTTCTGTATGGAAGTACGGGTAGAGTTACATACCACTTGTAGGCGTTATTAGATGTTTTACATATCTTTTTTTAGTTGTAGGCTTGATGATCCATGAATAATAGATGGAGTGCAGAAAAAAAGCTCAATGTTTACTGTATCACCGTGATCCGTCACTAATAGGATTACAGCAGTGGGCAGTTTGTTATTCCCCGGCCTTGTAAGAGCACAGCGAGATGTGATTGGATTAATGTCCTTAGCTATTTTACTCCACAATCTGCTGCTGTAGTAAACAATCTCCATTGTATATGTGAACATTAACAAACTCCAACTACTGGAAATAAAACCATTCAGGCTGCTTGATCCTCCTCCTTGCTATGCCGTTTGATATTACTTTTATATTCTTATTGAAAGCATTAGCTTTACCTTTATTTTTACTGCTGATATTGGCAGATGTCTACATCTCTGCTACACTGAGTCAGGTGGGGGGACGGATTAGCAGATGGCTTATGTGACTGGACAGTGAAAGAAGAAGCAGCTCATCTCTCTTGTCACTCTGCTCTCTCTATCAAACATGCTTCTTG